CACCTTGATAAGGCACTTGACAATAACACCGCCCTGGTTCAAGCGCTTCCAAAGTCTAGCTCAAAACCCAAGGCTGGACTTCCTGATGTTGAGAAGTTCAACGGCGCTGCTTACACCTTCGAGACTTGGCTCCCTTCTATCCAAGCGAAACTCAGGATCGATGGAGATGCTATAGGCAATGCTGAAGCCCAATTCTGGGGATCGCTTCTCCCGGCTCGATGGAAAGATCCAAGCCTTGGTGATGCCCCAGGTTCAACAAGCTTCGGAACTTCAGGTTTTCGATCCTCAAGACTTGCTCGATCAACTGAACCGCATCTACGATGATCCTCACAAAGTCCAGCAAGCCGAAAACGCTCTCTACGCACTCCGCCAAGGTGATGAAGGCTTTGGTCTGTTTATGGCTAAGTTTGAAAGGCTTCTCTATAAGGCAAAAGCCAACCTTTGGACTGAACCAGCAAAAATCTCTCTCATCCGCCAAGCTCTCAACAAGGACACTCGCAAACGTGCTCAACTTCTCCGCCCAGTTCCGGTTACTTACGTGGACTACGTACAAAAACTCAAAGAAGTCGTGAACTCTATCCATAAATCTAAAGATAAAGATGCTATGGAGATCGATGCCATCCAAGCAGCTAAGAAATCAACAGCCACTATCTCAACTTTAGAGCTGGCCGGACCGTCCCGCTCTCGGGCGCAGCTGCATATGGTTGAAGGTCTCTTATCTGATGATGTAGAATCAGACGATGACGACGATGACGACGATGAAGAGGATTCTGGTCATGAGTTCGGATGTGATCATTCAATTGATTTTGAGCTTGATTTTGAGCGTAAGCTGGAGCGCATGGCGTATGGTAGCCGTACCAGATGCTGAGATTCCATCTCATCCTTTTCTTTCACATGTTCTAGATCGCGTTGCTTCTTATGATGTCAGGTGTACCCATCCAGATTGTCGGGTCCTGTCATCTCAATCTTTACTTCTCTTCGACTCTGGGGCTGAGTCTTCTTCGAAGGGGGGGGTGATGTCATGGCGCTGCCAGACATGCTGGATCACGTGCATGTTCAGTCCTTCCATCTCAAGCATATAAGGCTGTCACTCCTTCCATCCGATGTAGTTAGCTTCTTCTTCTTCTTCATCTTTAATTATTTATTACATTCGTCTGATTATTCGTGTCCCAGCACTCAAGATCTACGTGACGTGACAGGTATATAGAGATAAATTAAATAAAGCTCACGTACCTCTTGAAAATTAATTGACTCTATATAAGCTTTTAGCTTTATGTTCTTTCAAGATTATTACTTTGTATATATTTACTTTAATATAAATCATTATTATAGTTTGTAAATACTTTATTAATAGTATTATAACTCTAAGCGCTAGCTTTATAATACTTATACTATTATAATATTTAAGTTTGTTTTAATACACTGTTTGACCTCGTTAGCACCTATGATCTTACAAAGAGCCTAGGCGCTAATTTTATACTACTAGCAATTATATTTTCGAAGAGGCAGCTTATCAAGGCGGAATGGTACTTATGGATTTACCTTTTCGAGTGAACAGTATCTGAATGGCCTCATGGCGCAACGGTAGCGCGTTCGACTCCAGATCGAAAGGTTATCCGTTCAAATCGGGTTGGGGTCATCTTGTTCTTCTTTTTAACGCACATAACGTTTTACGTAGTGGATTTGAGAAAGTTTCAAGTAACATCTTTTTGGGTTCCGCACATGGGGTCTGTGGGAGGCCGGCCAGGCCTGCTAAAAATGTTGACATTTAAGACGGACCGTTCCGTGTTCTGAGTCTGGGCTCGTCCACCTTGTATCAGCTTATGTCGTGCAATAATCCACCTTTCTTTAGGCGTGGCCTTCTTGTGTCTTCTGTCTCGGTATTCGTGCTTACTCTAATGCTCGTTTCAGGTACGCACGTGCGTGCGCTGCCGGTTCGCTTGAGGTTTTGAGAATGACATCATCCCACCTATGATAGTATTAGAACCACGTACCGAGAGGAGCATCTAATAACAGCGCGGAGAAGGAAGCTCCAGAGAAGGAAACAGGTTACAAGAGAAGGTTGAAATCCAAATGTTCTTATAATGGCTGAACGGCTCTGTAGGTGCAAGTGTTCGGGGTTGATTTTTGTCGACAATGAGTTAGAGTGCTTATCAGCTAGCAATACGTAATTCCCAAGTCTCTTCCTCTCATTTGTCGAATCAGGTGGTTCCCAACCACTTGCTAACCTTCGACAACTGGGCACGAAACGAATCTGAAGCATGCTGGAACCCCAAAAGTTGCGTACGCCCCTGCATGAAAAGTGCTAATGAGTACCTAGAGAGCCTTTGTTCGTATGCCGTCAATGCTGCCTCTGAAACAGGGTGACGGCGGTAGGGTAAGGTACCTTAACATGTCATCACACCCGGGCGCACCGGGCGCAGCCTAACTTTGTTCGTGGAGGTTGCACACTGTATTCCAGGTTTCGACGTCCCGGCATCACGAGGGGAGGCCCCCCGACCGTGTCAGGCCAAAAAAGCACCAGGCAACGCAACGTGCAAGGCGTCATGCGCTCCAAGGGGGGAGGGGCACTAGAAATGCCACTAGCAGCCCTAGCTGTGTTGAACGGCGATCTTCCATCATGGTGCAGTCCAGGAACCATTGGCTAGTCTAGTCGATCGAGCAGCGAGTCTATAAGACCTCCATCATCGCCATGTTCTGGTCTCCAGCCTGTTGACCCGGTTTGCTTCTCATGCGCTCAACCAAACTTCTCCCGCCAAGGCCTCAACCACCTATCTTCAGCCGCTTTTCATTATGTCGCTTCCGTCCACATACCGCCGCTCCGAGTCAAGCATGCTCGAGCATCAAACTTGGTGCAATCGAGGGTTCGAGCCTACCGAGACGTCCCTCGCCAACATGGTGAAAGCCCAAGGTCTTGTCCAAAAGTTCAAGGTTACCCATCTGCTCTCATATCTTGGCCGGCTCAATCCCATACCGATTGGCGTGTCGAAAACCGACGTGGTCTGGCTCTTCGATAATGTCGCCTTTCGCGGCCCAAACGGTTCATGGCAGGCAGAGTTCGTGACTGCTGTTTTCGACGCGCGTATATCAACCAAGTTTGTTGAGGCTGTAGGCGACATCGCCGAAAAAGTGGGTCTCTCCAAGGGCGACAAGCAGGAGAAGACGATTGAGCAGCGCATTACTCCTTTTCTCATGGAGGTTCTGCCTGGGAGACGGGTCGATATCAAGTTCGGCGAGTCTACCGAGTTGCGGCTAGGTCCTGGAGGCAGGAACGGGATCAGCAGTGAGCTGAAGAAGCTCCCCGACTCAAGTGCCAGAAGTGTGTCAAAGTCAGTGGCCGAAGTCCCATCTGGCGCAGGAGGATTGTTGGAAATGACAACCTTTTATACAGAGCCCGAGGGTTGGGCCGTTATTTCTGGTATGCTTGTGATCTCCGACACTTCACTCAAACGAGAAACAGTTCTTTCCCTCTGCGCAGAATGCTCAGTGTTTGCTTCTAACACTGGACCCTCCAAAACAGATATTGATGACACTATCAAGATCACGCAAACGAGTGATCCTGTGGGAATCCTACGGTCCACATTTGTGGTAAGTTTAGCGCTCTCTGCGTCCATCGCAATCGTCTAGTTCAATGATGGTGCTCAGATATTGACGGCATGTTCCTCGTTGTCTAGGCAGAGCCAACACCAATTGCAGGCATGCCAGAGCTATACTGGCAAATTAAGGACATAGTGACGCCGTCTGCACCGTGGTTCTACCTGTCGGCATCGCCATACAACCTCTACCCCTTCCTTCGGGATTTCACTCACCGTTACTATCCCCGGGGCCAGTTGGTCTTGCGAGATGCCAGTTGGATGACCATTCCAGGGTTGCTATCCAATCTCACGCTTGGAACCCAAAGGTACAAGGTCGATCGCATGAAGAAGCTGTACGAGTGGCTGCCAAAGAAGAAAATGATCTGTATAGGCGATTCAACGCAAAGCGACCCCGAAGCATATGGTGAGTTGATGGTACTTTGAAGTCGGGGCCCAGTTCGGTGAACTGTACCAGAAAACCCACTGGCTGACACTTGAAATCATGTCTGTAGGCGAGATGTATAGGAAGCATCCAGAGTGGATCAAGCTGATTCTCATCCGGAAAGTTGCCGATATTGCGGCCATCGGTACGGAAGCCAAGAATGCTGCCAAGCGGTTCGAGGACGCGTTTAAGGGTGTCCCAAGGTATGTGCGACTCTTACGGCCCTTTGAGTACTGGTTCTGATCTTGCGATACTTGCAGAGAGGTGTGGCATGTGTTTGAGGATCCTGCCGAGTGCCGTGAGCAGGTCCAGAGAGTGGTCGGCTAAGGTAAGAAAAAAAAAAAAAAAAAAAAAAAAAAAAAGCTTACGGCACCCGTTCTCATCATGATCTTTCCTCGGACGAGTGTCAGTTGCGTCTGATCACGGCGGTATGCAAGGTCCAATTCTCACACTTGGTTCGTGTGTTTTGGTCGTGTGCAATTCGTGCGAGACCTGCTGTGGTACCTGCCTTGTTGATCTCGCAAGATCTACTCTAGAGGTGGCAGGTACGCTGAGGGCTCGAGGCCATCTCTACTGGACATGGGATCTGAAAGGCGGATATGGCCTTTCCTTTGATGTAGTTAGCTTGCTTGGACGTTATGTCTTATAATGAATGAGACGGATACCTATCTTTTGTTCAACAGCCTTTCTGTCGATGATCAGATTCCTTCGATTGATGTTGACGCGGCGTAAGTACCTTGCTGGCTACCTAGGTACGTATCGCATGGCCCCGGACGAGTGCGGGGAAATGCAAGCTTACCCCCATGTCTCTGTGTTGTCTGTACCTGCCTCCGCCCGAAAGCAGTCTCTCGGTCTTAGTATTTACGTCAGTGATTTATTAATCCGAATGGTACGCATCATTACCCGTCCCCTCTTATCCGTGGGACACTGTACACAACTTGGTCCAGCTGAGAGCTGTTGTACTTGTTCCTTTTCCGCTTCCGATATCTTTAGCTTCACTTCCACTGCTATCATTTCCTTCACATCGTGCTCCGTTTAGCACCACTACAATTGCTCCTGCTTCGTCGTCCGCAGCTGAAAGGGTCAAAGATGTCGTCCGAAGGTGCAGCAGCAAAGCGACAGAGGTCCAACAAGGATGTGCCCTACAACCTCATCTACTGGCCAGGAATTCCCGGCCGCGGAGAGTTCATCCGGCTTACCCTCGAGGAAGCCGGTGCCGAGTACGTCGACACGGCCCAGGTCGAGGGAGGCGTCGACGAGGTGATGGCTTATGTTAAGGGCGAGAAACCCGACGACAAAACCAACCCTCCCATCTTTGCGCCGCCCATTCTCAAGCACGGTGACCTTGTCATCAGCCAGACGCCCAATATTTTGCTGTATCTAGGCCCGCGATTGGGTCTCGTACCTGGTGTTGAGGACGATCCGGATGCTCTGTACAAGGTCAATGAGCTGGCACTTACGGCGCTGGATGGATTGAGCAACGAGCCGCACGACTGCCATCACCCTATTGCGTCGGAGCTGTATTACGAGGACCAAAAGGAAGAGGCTAAACGGAAGGTCGAGCATTACGTCAAGACACGGTTGCCCAAGTTTCTCGGTTACTTCGAAAGAGTCCTCAACTCCAAGGCCAGCGGTGAGGGCCCTTACCTCTACGCAGGCAAGCTGTCATATGCGGACTTGGTCCTATTCCAGGTAAGTTCCACGCCTTGCTTGGCACAAATTGCTCTTCATATTATGGCTAACTTGAGGCAGTGTCTGGATGGCCTCAAGTTCATGTTCCCCAAGGCTATGGCGAAGTTGAACAAGGAGGGTAAACATTCAAAGCTATTTGAGCTGTACGATGCTGTCGGGCAAAGACCCAAGATCAAGGAATACCTCGGGGGTCCTCGTCGGCAGAAGTACAGCAGTGGCCTCTATCGTTACTATGAGGAGTTTGACATTGAAGGCTGAGCATGCAAGACAAGTGATTACTGCTGGCCGTGGGTATAACTTACGGCTTGGATTTGTCTATCAAGCCGTCTACTTGATGATGGAGCCTGTGAATCTAGGATGAATAGATGCGAGACAATGTGCTGATGTTCATGTTGACTCAAGGTTTCCCCCGAACAACATCTATGTTATCTGGTCGAACCATTCCTACATGGGCTGGGTAGTCCATGCGGCATCTGGGTTAACATGATGACTTTCGTTCCCAGAAGCGATCCTCCTAAGCATGAAACTCTGAGTCGGGCGAGTTCCGTCGTGTTTTGTTGACTGGGCTCTACTCCCAGCTCTTACTGATGACTATCCCCGTGGGTGGAGATATCAGGGAGGAGATGAGTATCTCACATGTTGTATGATGCTATACCATTAGAACGGCCAATAAGTTCTAACCGATGCAACAGATGCATACCTGGGACCAAATTCTCACCATTACCTCGGGCGTCGGCCCCGCCTAGGTTGAAAGCAAGGAATAGAAGGTCAAAGCAGGCGATATGGTAATTGTACCAGCAGGGGCAAAGCATCAGTTCCTCAGCCAGGGACCGGCGCCCTTGATTTTCTATACTGCCTACCTACTCACCGGCCGAGCATAAGCCGACATCAGTACATGAGACCAAGGAGGAGGACGAGAAGGAGGAAGAAGAAGAAGAAGATAGGTATTCGTGCGGAGCCAAAGAAGCAGGAAGCACAACATTGGGGAAGGATGGGAGAAGGCTGAGGAGTAAGTTGAGGAGCAGTTGCAGGCGACTTGTCGGAATATGAGTTGCTTCATTTCACCCTACTCACATTTAGGTTTTCAACATTCTTTTCTGCGCCATGAAGCAATGCCTGCTCCTTGCAAAATGATTTGGCACGCAGGATCTCATTCGGCTACACATAGGTAACCTCTACACTTTTTCCGTGTAGCTGGATTTGCTTCCTGTTCTCCCTCTTTTTTTTTCTCTTTTTTTCTTCTTTCGCTGCCACCCACTTTCCGTTCTTGCAGTTGTTTTGCTTAACATTTACGCTTTTTCACTGGCCCACCTCGCGCATTTTCCAAAAGCTTGAACGGGTGTTTGCTTCTCGATGTTACCTCTAGTTGGTTCCCTTGTTTCTTTTGCTAATCACATGGTCTACTCCACGAGCAGGTACTCAAGTCATGCCATAAGCTACAAAGTACTGTGTTCATACTAATCCATAAACATCACGGAGCCGTGGGGGGCGTTGCATGGACTGCGATATCCTCAGGGTGTTGTTATGCTCTTGCTTCCCTTTTCAAGGCTTCAAGGTTTCAGCTGCAACGCCGGGGTATTAAATGCCGCACCACTTTTGCTTGATGTGACCCCATGAGTCGAACATCTTTCCACCAGTAGGAACACAAACTCCGGCCCCTGGAACTCCGAATGATACCCGGCGAGAAAACTTATAATAGCAAAAGTTTCCTTCGCTCATGGGCAACATGGAGGTTATGATAAGCATAACCTCCATCTCCTTCTTCTCTCACCTGACCCTGCCACGTCCAGGTCTCGAGTCATCAAGACAATATGCAGCTTCTAGCCATCGTTTTTCTCCCCGTTGTTTTATTCGCCACTCAGGCTGCTGCCGCAACATGGTATTTCCTGCGCTATAACACCCCCTCCGGAGCCAAGTTCACTGCGTTCAGTGGACAAATGGTCGTCCCAACTCTTCCCAAAGCGGCAGTCTACTATCTTTGGCCGGGCCTACAACCGACCGACAACAGCGGAGTTTACCAGAATGTGCTTGACGGACGAAGCGGCACTTGGTGGTTTGGATCTGGATGGTGCTGTTCAAACCCTTCGCTACCATGGGGAGGCGGGTTCAACACGTATGCGGGAGAGACGATCAGCTTCTCGAATGTGTTGAACAGTGATGGGAGCGGATGGACTACGACGACGAAAAGGGGCACCACTGGCTCGCCCGTAACCAACACTTTTGCTCTTGGTGAGTCTAGGAGGGAAAGCCTACTCTGAGTCAAAGGAAGAATGATGGTCGAGAAGGCTGTAAGTGCTGATACTCTTGACTTTTATGATAGCTGGCAAATCTTTCAACCAAGCTATTTTTGCCATTGAACTGTGAGTCTTGTGTGTAGCAAATTCGCATAAAGGAAATTGAAGTCGCAATTTAAGGTACTAATCTTTCCAAAGTTACGATGTGGCATGGAATTTTGGGCCCTTGACATTCAAAAACGTCAAAATTGTAAGTACCATTTTGAGCGGCGGAATCGTGGACTTTCACTCTCAACAGAAATGCTTGTTTTAAGTGCTAACTTACCTACCCGACCGACAGGTTGCGACGGGAAGCACGAGTACGGCGTGGTGCACGGGAAATCCAGCAAACTATAACTCGGCCACGAAGTATACCATTTCCGGAGCGAGGGCATCAGTGAGCGGTACGACTGTCACTTGCACCATTGACTCGGTGGTTTTGCAAGGCCCTGCATGATAGCAAAGGATGACGTTTGTTCACGAATTCGAATATTGTTTGCCCCTTGACAGCCTCACTCAGTCTTCACTCAGGTGAAAGGCCTGGCCTGATAGCAGGAAGTGGGAACGTCTACATCATGATTACTCATTTATTCATGCTAGAGTACATGGGTACTTCTGCCTACATTCTTCCACATGGCAGCAAGAAACCTCCCTCATCAATCATACCTAGAAGGTAATCATCGGCCGTTATTTATAACACATTTTTTCACTATACCACCAGTACCCGCTAGAGAACAGCTGTGCAGGCCTGGGTCAATGGGATGTTGACATCCACGCTCTTCTTCCCCAAGGCGCCGACGACGGTGATGTTGGTGATCTTCACATCCGTTTTGAATCCAAAGTCGCCATTGACAGTCAGAACACCCAAGGCATACTTAAACTTGATGTTCGTCACACCCTGTTGCTCCAAGCTGACTCCATCATCAAGGTAAAGCTCACCCTCGGCAGTAAGGTCTTTCCCGACCGCGATGATGAGCTCAAAGTCCTGCTTGCGAAGTTCGGTGGTGGTCAAGGCAGACTTGGCCCTAAGAGGAACGATGACGCCACCGCGGAGGTAGAGCGGGATGTCAGTCAAGCTCTGATCCTTGACAGTGACGGTCCTGCCCTTGCCATGGACGACGTCAAGGGTGTACCAATCGTAAAAAGTATCGTTAGGAAGGTAGACATCCACGCTGGTCGAGTTCTCCTCAGTGACGGGGGTTACAAGGAGACCGGGACCGTAGAAGTACTGATGCTGGAGGCCAAAGGTGTTCGCGTCATTGGGATAGAGGTAGAACATTGGGTTAATCATGGGGGTACCATCAACGGACTGCTTGTATTGGGCAGTGTAGATGTAATCGAGCAGGCGATAGCGGATATCGATGGCCTTGCGGGCGGCCTCAGCCACGATCTCCCAACGGTAAAACTCCTGGCTGATGGAAGGTAGGTACTCGTTATGGTTACGGTAGAAGGGGGAGAAGGCACCCAGCATGGCCCAACGAGCGCAGAGCGACTCGGTTGTGTTCCCCCCGAATCCGCAGACATCAGCGCCCACCATGGGGATCTGGTAGATGGAAGCAAACGCCATCATTCCGTAAATGCTCTCACGGTAGTGTTGCCAGTCAGCAATGTTGTCACCGAGCCACTTGCCAACCGAGTGGCCAGCGCCAGCAAAAGTGGAGCGAGTGATGATGAAGGGGCGGAGGCCAGGGCGGCGGGCAAGCATAGCCCCGCGGGACTGGATCGACATCATGGTGCCGTAAAGGTTGTGAACATCATATTCAGCCAGGCCATTCTGGTGGATGGTATCGGTGTTCACAGTCTTGTTGGAGAGACCACCCTTGTCGGCGTTCCATGAATCCATGTAAGCAGCCTTGTTGTGAATTGAATACTTGGGGAAGAGGAAGTCACGGCCAGGGAGACCAAGCTGCTTGCCGGCAGTAATGCTAGCTTCCACAGTCTCCTCGCGCTTGGCAATAAGAACGTCACTCTTGACAGGAGCCTCAATGGTCAAGTCTTTCTTCTCCTTGCAATCAGTTCCCTCGGGCTGGAAGACGCAAGGCCATCCAGGGAGCTCCCGGGGAGGTGTCCTTACGGCAGGAGGCTCAGGCGGGTAGCCGATGGCGGATTTCTCGGGGTCATTGCAAGGGAAGAAGCAAGGAAAGTTGGAGGGCTCGTTCATGTCAATCCAGAGACCATCAATGTTGATACCAGAGCTCGCAGAGAAGAATTCAGTGAACTGGCTGTCCCAGTACCTGGATATGTTGGCCGAGAACCAGTCGGGGAAGACTGAGACACCAGGCCACACGACACCTTTGTAGATGGAGCTATCATTACGCTTGAGGAAGACGTTTTCTTCAATGCCTTTCGTCAAAGCAGGGTTTTCAGGCCCCTCTGCCGCCGACACGGCAGGGTCGACCATAACAATATACTTCTGGTCGTTCTCGTGAAGGTAGCCGATCAACTGCCTCATTGTCGAGAGGGGGAAACGCTGAGGATCCAGAGTAAAGACCCTTCTGCGGTCCATGTAGTCGATATCGGTCCACATAGTTTCAAGCGGGATGCTGGCCTTGCTGTAATTATAGACCACCTCAGCAACCTCGAAAGCATCCTGGTAGCCGTAACGGCACTGGTGTAAGCCGAAACCCCAGTATGGCATCATGGCAGGGAGCTTGGTGATCTCGGCATATTGCTTAGCAACCTCGATCGGGCTAGGGCCAGCAACGAAGTAGAAGTCAACGACACCCCCAAGGGAGTTGTACTCGAGGTATTGACCGGAGCGGCTGTCCTTGTCAATGACGACGTCCATACCATTGGAGTTGAGGAACAATACACCGTGGCTGCCACTCTTGCGGTGCTCGTAGTAGACCGGGTGATTGCCGTAAAGGTTCGCTCCGTTGGGGGTGGAGTAGGCATCCTGAGACCAGAAAGTCCGGATGTAGTTGGTGGTGTTGAGGCGGAAAGAGTCCGAGTGCTCACCAAGACCGTAGAGGTTTGGGTTGTTGGGCAGCTTGGTACGAAGACGCAGGTACTGGGACTCGAAAACCAGGGAAGCGACTGAAGTATCGAAGAGAACCTCACCCGTCTTGGCGCGAGTGACGGCGAAGGAGAAAGGGCTGGTCTTGTAGGTGAACTTCAGGGCGGACTTCTTGGAGTTCGCACCCTGGGCTGCCTGCGGGCGAGGGAAGATGGATTCAGGGATCTGATATACATCGTTCGCGGCATCTTGTATCTTGACGTGCAGGCGGTTGTCTAACACATGAATTTTCCTTATTAGCGCCTCCCACCCGTTTAGTTCTTCATTTAGTTATTGTTTTAGTCAACTCACCCGTCTCGTATGTCACCTCAAGGACGAGGTTATCCAGGTCAGTGCCGTAGGTATTGCATGCCTTCCCGGCAAGCTTGAGCTCCGCCGTCAAGCCATTGGCGTTCGTCTTGACGTTCGTAGCCTTGTAGCCGGGACACTTGGCCAACGGGCCGTTGTTGATGGCGCGAATGGCCTGTGGAAGGGCGGCAGAGCAGAGTGAAGCCAGCAGCCCGAGGGCCGCGAGACGAGATCCCGCAAGCATCCTGTAATGTCCGGCTGCTTGGTGCTTGGTGTCACAAACGCACAGGAGAGAGAGACTGCGATCCGGAGAGATGTTACTCTGAATCTCCCCTCACACAAGAACCACGGAAGGCAGCATGCTCTTACTTATACCAATTCCATCTAGACCAGGCGCATCGTCACCGAGCAGGGGGTTCTTGAGCAAGTAACACCATCACTTTCCCGACCCGGCAAATCAGGAAAGGATCAGCCAGTATGTACCGATAGTCTGGAGACCATTGGAAGCTGCAAGTTGGGGAACCTGGGGAATCCGAGGGCAACGCAAGGAACCATTCCGGATGCCGCCTTGGAAGCCATTATAGACCTAGAGAACCTTGGATTGCCATGCCGAAGATTCTCAGTCCGTACCATTTCTCCGCATTCAATCATACGCTACTCCGTCATGGGGCTTTCGCTAACATAAAGCACCAACTCCCAGACAGCAAAGGTTTGTGGCGTGTCGAATCCCACGATAGATCCCGAGCCGACCTTGTGTCGGCATCATGTCGGTCTTGCAAAGGCTCTGAGCGGGCCCATTGCTACGACCAAGCACGACGGGTTGGGAGGTGGTGAAGAAAGCATCAGTTAGGCGAAGCACAGACGGTCAATATGTGAATATGAAGTCGGGGTAAACTCTGATCACTTGCCTTATTTCTATGTGCGTGTTGCTCTCTGGCCGGCCGGTGAGTTTGCTTTCTCCAATTTCACCAATGCCCCAGGCTTCCCCAGTTTTGCCTTCCCCATCCCCCGCTATCTACCCCTTGCTCTTCTCCGCACATGTAGATTTTTCCGGGGAAAAAAGAGGCCAAACCCCATCAAAACGGTTGGGGGGTAGCATCCCAGGTGGGACTAATGGCTGACCCATGTTCCTCAGGAAAGGCCCGAATGTTGGATGAGAAACCATTCAAGGTGTTGGATGACGGTCGGAGTTGGGGCCTGTAAGCTTGGATCTGATCGGGCTAAACTCCGACCGTAGTTGCGGGGTTTGCTAGAAAGCTGGTTGAGGTCCGGATACCGAGATTTAGATCATCAACACCAAGCCCATACGTAGTCAATTCGGCACTCAAGGATAAACTTATCCAGCCTTTTTGGAACCCAGCTCGTGGCCGCTGAAGAACATGAAAACGATATCTGAGGTTGTCAAATGGACGGCAGACGGCTTTGGTATCCCAAATCAGCAGGTGGTAAATCTCTCGCTCGGGGCACCTTTGTAAATACCCGCACATTAGTCAGTACATTCTTTTGTTGGTGAGTCTATCAAGTCAACCGATACCTGGCGTAAAGCGATTAAATCTTTTACAAGCTGCCTTTTGCAGAAGCCATGTCATCTATTCCCTTGGGCTTAACACCCTTGCAGGGATACACAAACCATACGGCCGCGGGCGATGAACAATACCAGTCAACTTCTGTTGACCTCATGCTGGAAGTTGAACTCCGCTGCAGCCTAGACAATGATAACTCCAGCAACTCTCTGATTATGCTTATACCGTACCCACATGCGCCGCCATGCTTCTTTTTCCTGTGGCCCAATAAATGCCATGATCCCGGAAATAACAATAAGAAAACAACATAGTACGAAATGACTTTGGTTCAAATCCTCCCACGATCAGTCGACATCCATACCGTCCGAATCCGGCGCCGATAACGCCACGGTGATTGATGGATCCTCATCCTCTTTCTTCGTACTTTCGGCAGCAGTGGAGGTTTGATTCGCGTTTCTATCGGCGGGCATAGCTGATCCATTTTGCGGACAGAGCCTATACGTGTCGTCCTCGATCCGTTCAATGATCCCTTCATCAAGCGCCCATTGTGCTAGCAGGGGATCCACACCCATGCGATCAGCCTCTCCCTTTTCCATATGTCGACCGACATGTTCTGTCCATTCATCCCATGACCCGGCGCCCTCAAAAACGCTCTTACAGTCGGGTTTGGGACAAGACGACCGTTGAGGGGGTTGCCTGCGCGTTACTAGACATGATGCTTGCATCTCCTTCACATGCGCCTCCCACTCAGCGAGAAGTCCTGCCTCCGGCTTGCTACCGGGCTTCTTGAGGATCGGCGGCGCATGCATTCGTCGCAGGTGCTGCGTAAACAAGTCTTTGCGGTTGAACTCATTACCTTTGCCATCGGCGCTGCTTTGAGGACATGCCGAGCACCGATAATATTGCAGGCACAGGTGCTGAGAGGCTATGTGAC